CAACAAGCTGATTCTTGATCTTGAAAATATTGATGTGAAGATCGATGATGAAGATCAAGCACTGCTGTTGCTGTGTGCTTTGCCCAAAACACATGCTCACTTCAAAGAAACTCTCTTGTAGGAAGGGAGTCCCTAACCTTTGAAGAAGTTCAATCAGCCTTGTATTCTAAGGACTGAACGAACGAAAGAGCATAAACCTTCGACGATGGCGAAGGTTTGGCCGTTAAGGGAAAATTCTTGCGAAAGGATGGTAAGTTCGACAAGAAGAAAGGTAAAAGTCAACAGAAGTCTTATAGTGGCGAAACATCTAGTATTTGATGTTATCACTGAAGAAGGAGGGTCACATAAGAAAGGTGTGCCCTGAACACCTGAAAGATCATGGAGGTAATGGCAATGCAGCCATTGTTCAAGATGACTTCGACTCATCTGATGTTCTTGTGGTTTCAAGTGGCAACTCGAGGAAAGAGTGGATTATGGATTCAGGTTGCACTTGGCACATGACTCCAAACAGAGAATGTTCGAGGAGCTATGTGATCAAGATGGTGGATCTGTGTTGCTAGGAAACAACAAATCTTGCAAAATTGCAGGTATTGAATCTGTGAGATTTAAGCTCCATGATGAGTCAATAAGGTTATTGACTGAAGTCAGGTACGTACCTGACTTGAAGAGAAATTTGATTTCTCTTGGTGAATTCGACTAGAAAAGGATACATTTTTCAAGGAGGAGAAAAGTATCCTAAGAGTCATGAAGGGGCCGAAGAAAGTCTTGAGAGGCGTGAAGAAACAAGGCTTGTATACCCTTGAGGCTGAGGTTGTAAGTGTTCGACAAATGTTGCATCCACGAAATCTATGTCGAAGACAGAATTATGGCACATGATATTGGGCCATGTCAGCGAAAGAGGCCTGTCGAATTGGGGAAGCAGAACCTGCTAGGAGGTGACAAAGTCGAAAAGTGGAATTTTGTGAATCTTGTGTATTTGGTAATCCTGTAGGGCGAAGTTTAACAAAGGCAAGCAAAGAACACATGGATCCCGGGATTACATTCATGCTGATCTTTGGGGGCCTGCAAGGAATCCTTCACACTCAAGTGCAAGGTATTTTCTATCCATCGTTGATGACTATTCCAGAAAGCTATGGGTATTCATTCAGAAGACGAAGGATGAAACTTTTGAGAATTTCAAAGTTGGAAGATCTAGTCGAAACTCGAACTGGCAGAAAGGTTAAGAGGTTGAGAACCGACAATGGCCTTGATTCTGCAACGAAGCTTTCGACAGTTACTGTGTTGGGTCTGGTATTGCAAGGCATAAGACTGTAGCAGGTACTCCTCAACAAAATGCTTAGCTGAGAGATTCAATCGAACAATCCTTGAAGGGTTAGATGCATGTTGGTTAGTGCTGGATTGAAGAAGGTGTTTTGGGCGGAAGTTGTTCGACATCAGCTTACCTGATAAATAGATGTCCCTCGACTGCCTTGGGAATGAAGACACCCGAAGAGTTTGGTCAGGACATCTACCTAGTCTCGACAGACTGAGAGTATTTGGCTGTGTGGCCTATGCTCATATTAGGCAAGACAAGGTCGAACCTAGAGCTCTGAAGTGCATGTTCATGGGATACCCTGAAGGGAGTCAAAGCTTATAGGCTATGGTGCCTAGAGCCAGGTCACAGAAGGTGTATCACAGTCGAGATGTAGTTTCAATGAAGCAGAGATGACTTTCAAGAAAACTGATGATGTTGACGAAGAGCTGGAACAGGGAGAGATTCCTGTTGAGTGGAGCATGTTGATGCTGAATTGCTTACCCCAGATGAAGTCGAAGAAGATGCAGAAGATGTTGCCGAAGATGAGGAGACTGATAATGACTACCTGCTAGCAAGAGACAGGTCGAGGAGAGTCATCAAGCCACCTCAGAGACTTGGGTATGCAGATCTTATAGCTTATGCCTTAATCTCTGCTAGTGAGGTTCTAGATGAATAACCTAGAGACTATAAGGAAGTTATGAGGAGTCGAAAAAAGACTGAATGGCTGGAAGGCCATAGATGATGAGATGAAATCTCTTCATGATAACAACACCTTGGAACTGACAAGAAACCTACTAGAGCTAGGTTAGTCAGCTGTAAGTGGATTTTAAGGTACATAAATCGGGGTCTCTGAATAGAGTCCTAATTTATGGTGGAGCCTTGGGTGAAGATAGTAAAGCAGCAATCGAAGGATATGTCGACTCTGATTATGCAGGTTGTATGGATTCCAGAAAATCTATCTCTGGATATGTATTCACTATGTTTGGGACAGCAATCAGTTGGAAAGCAACACTTCAGAAGGTCGTTGCCTTATCAACCACTGAAGCGGAGTATATTGCCCTAACTGAAGCTGTGAAGGAAGCATTATGGCTTGAAGGTTTTGCAAAGGAGCTAAAACTTCAAGGTCGAGTTATCACTGTTAAATGTGATAGTCAAAGTGCAATACACTTGTCGAAGAATTCAGCCTATCATGAGCGAACCAAGCACATTGATGTGAAGCTGCATTTCATCAGAGGGGTAATCGAGCGTGGAGAAGTCCAAGTGCTGAAGGTTTCGACATATCATAATGTTGCTGATATGATCACTAAGACGTTGCCCAGTTGCAAGTTTTTCCACTATATGCAGTTAATAAAGCTGCATGAAGAAAGCTAGTTTCTTGATATTATAGAGTTAGATCCAAGGTGGAGATTTGTGAGACGTTGGATCGAACTCTAGTGTTATCGAAGTCTGTTCGCGAGTAATGCGTGTTGTAGTCGAAGTTTGTTCTAACATGCATTAGTCAATATTGCTAGGGTTGTTAGCATGTTGAATTGGGCCTTGCTTGTAAGCCCAATTGTTTAAGTTAGCTTGTACCCTAAGTTGGCTTGTAATGGGTAATTGTTAAAAAGCCCATTAGGTTAGTGTGATATTTTATTATAAATAGGATGCTAGTTTCTCAATCTTAGAATAAGGAAAAATAGGAAGATAAAATCCTAATTTCAAGGGAGAGAGGTTATTTTGTTATTCTTGTATACTTGTAATCTTGTTCTAAGAGAAAGGAAAGAATAACAGTTTAATAACCAATCCTTGTTGTTCCTTGTTGTTTTACCTTGCTTTCTTTGTTAACCCTAACCCTTGTGAGTTTCTTGATCATTAAGAAACCGTTTATACTTTGTTTAAAGGTATCTGATTCACAACAGACACATCCAACTATGTATTATACTTTTGTACAAGTTTCTTTTTTGAAATGTTGGAAACAAATTGAAATGTAAAAGATTATGAAGATATTAAAACATTGAAATTGTAATAGAGACGTCAATTAAATTGAACTTGTTTATAATTCATAGAACTAATAGTGCTTTATTAGGAGTGGAAATAGGTTGAGCCGAGATAGACTTTGTTAAGTTTGAGTGTGACCTGTTAAAAGATTTAAAGTCTAAGTCTGGCATGTAACCTATCATATGTTTTTTTTTAAGTTTAAGTGTGACCTGTTAAAAGCCTGATTGACCTACCAGCCTATTTAAGAGTCTATTTCATTTGAACGTTTGTAAATAAGAAATTCAACTAATGTTAAATACACTAACAAATTAAAGGATTATTGATACTAGCATATTAGCATAAGTTTAGTGATGCTATTTGTTAGAGAGAACTTATGAAAAAAACTTATGATAATAACTTATGTCATTATTTATAATATTTTTTCAACTTATTTTCATAAGTTCTTCAAGATAACTAAGTTTTATTTTTGTATTTTAATTAAAAATATAAAATATAATATAATAATAATAATAAATTTATTGAGTTTTTTTTTATAAATAGACTGATCGGATAGACTTAAAAGACTTTTCTTACCGTATGTGACGTAGTTTTTTTTAACTAAATAGGCATATAAAAAAATCTAGACATTTTTTGTTTAAGAAAAAATCTGGTCTGATCTAGACCTATGTAGACTAGACCGTAGACTCCTATTAATTGGTTTGTCATATTCTCAACATAGCTTCCATTAAACTTATACTACCTCCGTTTTTTATTATAATTTGAGAAAAAAATTGTACACATTATAAGTCGTTTTATATTACCAATAAATCATTAATGTTATTTTTTCTATTATGTCTTTAAATATTTATTATTTTCTCCCCTTTCAATTATGTAAATTTATCTTTTCAATATCATTGATAAAAACTTTTCATAATTTATCTTTTTTATATTACAATTATTACATTTTTTTTTAATATGTATGAAAAGTAAAAACCAATTTATAATAATAAACGGAGGAAATAACTATGATATAATTACTTATTATATCAGCCATGTTTCTTTTTGTATTTATATTTGATATCCACAAATTTAATGGGTAGTAAGTTTGTTTAGAATCCAAATTTTGTCATATGAATTCTGAACAGAACTGGTTGTCTAAAAATTAGAATTGTCCAATCATTATCAATTAAAAGGTGTACGTTGTGCAATATACGAGTGTGCATATTTTTTGTGTGATTTCTATTAAAACATTCATCCATTAACATTCAAGAGATGTTTGTTCTTCTATATGAACCCAACTTCAAGTAGTAAAAATGTAATGCTTCTTTACTAACCCTAAATTCATTAGGTGTTAAATGACCAAAACAAAACAATTTAACATTGTACTTGGTTCCTCAAACATGACGTTAAGGATATGATTCATTGGCTAGTGTGTACATGAAAAACATATATTGAGAACTCAACTCTTGAAAAAAAAATCTCCGTTTCTTAAAGCAAATTAATTTCCACAATCTGGGGAGTTTTGAATTTCGTACATATAACTTAACTATTTATATATAATAAAATTGTGTGCTCATATAACATACAAAACATATACATTTCGAGTTAATAACAAATCACTTTAAAATGTCAGTCCAGATGAAAAGAAAATAAGGCCATCTCTTATGTAAGCATCCCATTTGGTGTGACCAGGAAAATTGAAGGCTATTTTCTCCTCAACTGGAGGTCAGTAAAATCTTTGGAAAGCTTATTATTGGACTGATATGTCCACATTTGTCTGCTCGATGATATTAGGAGGAGCTGTTTGGGTTTCCTTGTCCGGTTTGGTCCATTCTTTGGTTTTGCAAGCACCGTGGCTTTTACGTCCAGTGATCAGGTCCTTGTTTTTATGAGTGCCGGGGGTACCAGACCCACTTTTAGGAGTACTGCAAGTGCTGTGATGTACTCGAGTGGAAGCTTCTGAAGATGAGTTGTTAACAACGTCACCACAGCTCTTTCTTCGAGATAGTCTTGGTGACTTGGGGCGAGATAGTTTTGGTGACCTGGGCCGAGTCAGTGGAGGCTGCTATAAAAGAAAAGGAATGAAGAGTTTTAGTTTTCCTAACTAGGGTGTAAATAAATTTATAATTCTGCCTCTTCCATTTGGAAAGGACTAAAATGATATGAGGAGTTTCATGAATAAGTACTGCAGCCTGTGTATTCTAGACATTGTCAAGCATTCTAATATTCTTATTATATTGTATTCTACTCGTTAAATCTATTTGTGCAAATTCTGAAATTCTCAATGGCAGTTTCTTGTTCATCCTGAGACTTGGAAAAGACAGATGGAAAAGGAAAAGACTGAATACCTTCTTGATTTCTGTTTTTGGAGGAGGCGCCTCATAGTAGAAGCTTGGTACTGGCTTTGCTTTAATGACCAAGTTCTTTCTCAACTGCTTAATGGCTGCATCTTCCTCTTCCTATACAGGTTATAATTATACAAACAGTATAGTTATTTAATCTGTTAAACATGTAAAAAAGTAACCTAAGAAGATAAACAGAAAATAAACAAGTGAACGGTCTTAAAACTTGACATTGGCTTACCCAGTTAGATGTTTCTAGAATGAAGATGAACAAAAAAAATTAAAAGATTTACATACATATAATATTATATGTTTCTCGAATGAGGGGAGGCAAAAAAAAAACAGTAAAAAAGAAAAGAAAAATGAAAGTCACACATGGATGTGCAGCAGGCAGCTAAAAAAGAAAGAGCGCAGTACCTTTCGCCTAGCCTCATACTGGAGTCTTTCCTCTTCCAGAGCTCGATTTTTCTCCTCTAACTTCATATAGAACTGGACAGATAAATCAGGGACAATAGCAAAAACCAATAATTAGATTTACCTTATCTAATGATAATAATATTGAGTAAGAAACACAATCAACGTCAGAGTACATTGTTAAAGGTTCATAAACATGGTACCTCCTTTCGTTTCTCTGCACGATCTGAGCTTCTGAACGTAGGGGCTGTACCTACAGTTACCTTGAATCTGGCAGTACGTCCAGATGCAACACTACTATTTATGGTTAAAGAATAAATGAGAATAACCTTAGAATGAAATATAAGTAAAATATAGAAATTTGGGGGGTTCTTTATTTTATTATTACTATTTAGCTCATAAAATAACTGTTTGATAGTTGGTTCCATTTATGGTGGATTCTAAGATTTTTCTGATATACCTAAAATTTACTGTTTCAAACTAAAACCATCAAATCAAAACTTTTGAGGATACGAGGAAGTAACAGACCAATTGTCTTCATCCTCATGATGCTTCTTATCATGTTGCGCAAGCTTCCTTGTTGTAAAAGGTGAGTTCGTCTGAAAAATCGGAAAGAATTTCAGTAATTTCATAAAATAGACTCGCACGTTTCCAGACACAAATCGCAAAACAATCAATTACAAAGCATATAAGAAGGTAAGCAAAGTGTTCTACTTCACTTAACTTCTACTAAATGAGCAATATTTCCAAACTAATTCCTTTTTATTGGCGGTCAGATTTGCCTAGTAAAAGTTTGAAGGACTCCTTTTAAAGCATTCAATTTAACCAAGGTTGCTTGCATTTATTTGGTAACATATTTTAAGCTTCCCGATATATTTTTTGATACTAATTCAATTTGAGCTAACCCAGTTAGAGAAACATATGGCATGTGAACAAACAAAATAAGGGCTAGGCACCACATATGCTTGGACCTTTACTCTCTAAAAGCTTCACTTTCTCATTTTGTCAAGTGTTGTAGGAAACAACTAAATTTAAGAACCTTTAGGCACCACATATGCTTGGACCATTTTGCATACTTAACTTAGTTCTCAGAAGAGCACATGCAAATTTAAGTTAATGCTTAAATATTCAAAGGTTATGACACAATACCTGTGAGTTCTTTGAGGAATTTGGTGAGTGTGTATTCTTAGCATTTGGCGACAAGTTTTGACCATTTGAATCAGGTGAGTGTGCATTCTTAGCATTTGGCGACAAGCTCTGACCATTTGAATCAGCTTTAGCATCAACAGTCTGTGTGTGGGTGACATGCTTTACAGTAGCCTGATCGGACTGTTGTGGAGCAGGAGGGCTTGTATGCTCTTTATCCACGGGAATTGTTATTGCAATAGGTGAGCTTAATTCTTTTTCCTCATCACTCATCTTCTGTACTTCAGATTTATCATTCCGCTCTTCAGGCAAACTAGCATTTAATTTAGTGCTTTTGGCACTCAAAGAATTACCTTCAGCAGATTCCTTTATCTCATGATCCATTGCTTCAACCATTGCGGCAATTTTGGGAGAAACACGCACTCTATCACTAAAACTACCGTTTGAAGTTACACCATTTGGCTTCTTGTCCATGACATTTATGCCAGTAACTTCCCTTCCCATTACACTGCATGGTATAGATTACAAGGTAGGAAATAAAACACTTAAGAGTAAGTGGCTGGGATTAATGAAGAAATAAACGACTTCAACATCCATAGAAGAATTCTAAATATTTTCTAGGAGCAAGAATGCATTAAAATGATTGATATACAAGAATATATTAAGAAGGCGAATATAAAAGCATTCTTCAACTACATGAACATATTCTTCTACAACGACAACAACCAAGCCTTATCCCAGGCTAAATGGATCAACTTTCGCCATAAAGTATGATATGTGTCTCAATACATACCACAAAGCTCAAGAATTGACCATTCAATCTTACACGGACGGTTTATTTTTATACAATCGTGTTCACTTATGTAGAGGATTGAATAAACCAAACTACCCTCTCTGTCAACACACATGCATTCACATGCCTATACATGATTCTCTAAAGTATCACAACTATTTCACCAATATTTTCCACTTCAAATTAAATCCAAAAAGGTATACCAATTAAGAAAGAAAACATGGTGGAGAAAGATATAAAAATTAAAAACATTATACATGAGCTGAAATAAATATTTTATAAATGAAAAGAAATTTTAGATATTGTCTTCATATGAAATCCAAGCCAGAGCTGAAAACTTCAACCAAGAACTCACATCACAATCAAACAGATAAGAATTCCAATAGAATAAGGTAAACAAAGGCTATTCCTTCCAAATTAAGTTTAGAATTATTAACAGATATAGAATACCCTAAAAGCATCAAAAGTGACACCAAAAGGGGCTTATAATTTGTCTTTTGTCCCACACCACAAAAAAATCCAGGACCAGCATAAAACTACCCTACATTGAAAACAAAAACGCAATTCTAGCATAATAATCAACGGTTTTCATTTCAATGAGCTTCAATTACAGAAAAATTCGTGCATGCAATGCAAACATTGATTGAACACGAGAAAAGTTAAAACGCGAAACATTAAATTGGAAAGAAGAGAGAGATCTATATGAAAAGAGATGCACATTGCAGAGATGGTAAGAAACGAACCGGTGGAAGATGAGTTCCGATCTGAGAAGATCTGGAAATGAAGGGTGAATCTCTTATTGATTAGTGTGAAATGTAATGTAGATTATGAATGATAATCCTTTTGTTTAGGGGAGTAATTAGTATTAATTATAATTGAAAAATGCGATTCGTTGGTAAATGGGTTATATATAGATATAGATAGATAGATAGATGGAATTTGATGATGATTTTATAATAAATGTGAATTGACGGTGTCAAAATGGGACAATGAGGTTTCAACGGGAAATGACGTATGTTACGGACAAAATGGAAAACAGCTTTTACCCTAAAACTTGTTTCAATCTGCCAAAATCTCCACCATTCAACTCTTCTAAAATCAATAACCAAGTGGGATAAATAGGCTTAGTTGGTCCAATTATCTTACAACTATTATATTGGTTTTATTACAAGTGTTTCAGATAGATTAGATTGTGTGTTTCTTTAAACTTTGGATTTAAGATCATCACAAACTTTTATTTCAATTTTAACTCGACTCGATTAAAGTTTATAGATAATTCGGTTCAATTCGATAACTTGAACTCGGTTCGACTTAATATCACAAAAACATTTAAAATTTATATATGTGAGAGAGAGAGAGAGAGAGAGAGAGAGAGAGAGAGAGAGAGAGAGAGAGAGAGAGAGAGAGAGAGAGAGAGAGAGAGAGAGAGAGAGAGAGAGAGAGAGAGAGAGAGAGAGAGAGAGAGAGAGAGAGAGAGAGAGATTTTACTTTAAATGTTACAGGACCACCTCATATGTATAGTTGCCTCTAGAGGTAAAAAATATTGTCGATGATAGTGGCCTTGTTTCATTTATGGACTGTTCGATGACCATGTTTGACACTTCACTGATGTTCGTTTTATCGAGCGATGGCATAAGGAGACATTCTCATTTCATCTTCCATTTGGTGAGATGACGATTACTTTGGATGACGTCTCTTCCATCTCCCCTTGCCAGGTAGCTTATTCATCGCTCATCGCATTAACTACGAGCTTGCATATATAAATGATATACATTGCTTGGGGGTTATTGAGGCAAGAGGTGATGAAGGAGTCTAAGTTTAATAGAGGTGTTCATTTTTGCCTATCTTGGCTCTAGGTGAGGTATACGAGTGGTGGAGCAGTCTATGTATGAGGGTGTGATGCATTGACTATACTACATACTGTTAGTTTATGTGCGGCCTCTAAGAAGGGTGTGAATTAGATTTATTGGACTTTTCTTAATTTGAAGTGTTAGCACTGGTTTTGTTATTTTTCTGAAATGATATGAAAATAAACATGCTGAAAAATAGATGCAGAAAGTAAAGAACACAAAGATATATCCGGTTTCCTTCATAATCCGAGAGTACTCCAGTCCCCTCACTCCCCGTGAGAGGTTTCCATTATGTCAGATCTTTGTACAAGTCTTCCACCAAGACCTATCCTACAATCTTCTAACATAAGCAACACAGTAAATAAGGACAATCCCCTTATGATCTTTACAAAGTACAACAAGAGAATAATCCTCCCTTATTCACTCTCTTGCTTCCAACAATCCTGGACAGCAAGGAAATTACAACAATCTGAATTTTTATAAGTGTCTGAATTTAGATAAAATGTATATCAATTCCTAGAATTGATCTTCTCTATCAAGTAGGCAATTCACAATATGTAGTACAAGTGCTCAATGATTTATGTAGTTGAAACTATTTGAGAATGTAATGAAATAGATGTGAAAAAGTTTCAATAAAAAGTTATGTCAAGAACACTAGATTTTGAAAATGAGAGAATATAAGTTATGAATTGATATGAAAGGGAGATGAGTTTGAATTCTGAAACGTATGGTTTATATAATGCCTTAACACCTTTCTAAAAGTGTACAAATACATGAAAAGATGTCATGGTTCAAAAATGCTTTCAGAAAATCATTTGCATCAGAATTTTCATGAAAAAGTGTCACTGGTTCAGTGGTAATCGGTTACCTAAAGTGGGTAATCGATTACACATGATACATTTTCAAAAACTAAAGTATTTATACATTTTGAGAAAACTGTGCAAATTGTGGCGGTTTTAAAAGTGCTATTACGTTGGTTCGAAATGCCATAATTTACCAAAAACAAAATAGTTAATTTAAAAATAATTTTAAAAGATTCATGAAAGGTTTAAGCTGAATATTGTTGGCTGAAAAGAGCCAACTAAAAGCATTGACGGCAAAAGGGTCAAAGTCGACAGAAAAAAGGAAGAAACGTCCCAAGCCGACAGTGCTTGTTGGAAAAGCCAATAAAAGGTATTAGCAGCGAAGTGTTGAAGTCAACGAGACTCAAGAGAACGCATCCTAATTCGACAGCGCATGGAAAGGTGCATAGTCGACTAAGACATGGGTTGGTCGACAAAGACGACAAAAAGGGTAGTTGACAAAGGGGTTCGTTGTCTGACGAGAAATAAATTTGAAAAAGGAGAACATGCGGGAAGTTACAAAAGTAGTGGCCCGACACGTGGAGGCACCAGAGAGAATCTGACGGTTATTTCACTTGCCTATATAAAGCAATGCCTGGTTTCAAGAAAAAGGCGTTTTTTGTCAGTATTGTAAGAAAAACACTCTGAGTACCGCACACTGAGAGAAAAGAGTTCCCCATTCCTTATAAAATGTACGAACACGCCCATTTGTATTTACCTGTTTAAGTTAAATTTACCAAGTTTTTATGTTATGAAAAGAATGCCTTTACTGTTATGTCATTTTTTCATTTTCTCTTTGTTCTACTAGAAGCATCGTTGTCTTTGCGTTCTTAAACTTTATCATATACACGTTCAAAAAACTGTCAAGTGTATCAAAAATTCAAAGTATCTCACGAGTGGACGCACCCAGTGCCAAGAGTCCTCAGACTAGTTTGGCCGGTCCCGCAAGCAAACCCGCGTCGGGAGGTCAGAGATTGCCCGCGTGAAAAACTCGTGCGAACAAATATGCATTGTTTTTATGAGCAATAAAGATATATATATATATATATATATATATATATATATATATATATATATATATATATATATATATATATATATATATATATATATATATATATATATATATATATATATATATATATATATATATATATATATATACACTTGAATTGTAATGCATATTTAACTATTTTGATTCTTCCATTTATTTTCCAAAGCTTTTTGATAATTTGAACTTGATTGCTCTAGTCTTCAAGCTTTGACTCTTCTTTTTGTTGATGTGTTTGTCTTTATCAAAGTTATAGCCTAGGACAAGAAGAAATCTTCTTCACATTCTCCCCATTTTTGATGATGACAAACCATTCTTTAAAATTTAACTTGTTCATCAATGGGTTGCTTCAATATGTGACTTTTTGAAATATCGAGTAGCAACTATAATCTCCCCCTATATTGTATATCTCCCCCTTGATTTTTCAATTCAAGGCTTTGTCTCCTGAAAGATTCATAAATAAGAACAAATACAGTACCTATTATCTCTCCCCCTTTTGACATCATCAAAAAGAAGACAGAGTAGACTAAAGTATAAAGCAAAGTGATAACATAGGAAGGATATATTGTTATAATTGAAAATTAATAGCATAAAACTAGACACTTATCTCCTTCATAATAGTTTGATGTCAAAGTTGATATCAATATTGATGCTTCTTCAAAACATATTTTTAATCAAAGAAACTTTTAGAACTACCATATTGTATGGTCTCGTATCTTGAAGGATCAATCTTGATTTGACAATTCTAGCATATGACCTTCAAGTACCTACAAAACAATTAGTTACATCTCATGCCCTTCACCACTTGAATGATGTGATATCGTCAATGCCTTGCATGCATGATCTTCATCTGAAGATGAACTTATTTCATTGGCATCCCATGCTACATATGCTTTCTTTTCCTCTTTGTGCTTCTAGATGTGCTTTCATGCAAATTTTCCAGAAGTCGAAATATTCAGCAGAGAACA